CTTACCTGAACTTTTTGTTTTATCGAAGCTTTGGACAGAGCACTCGTGTTTCTTTTCTTTTCTTCAAGATTTCTCCGAGATTTTTGAAGATGCTTACTTGAGTCTTTTCTCGTTGATTTTCTTGAGTTTTCGGTCATGAGTCGTCATTACACTTTTCTTCGGATTTCCCGGATGGCTTTTCTTCCAGACTTCGTTTTTTGCAATATATTTCAGCTTGCTATATTTAAGAAACAGTGGATCCCACAGGCGTACAGGTTCGTTTTACATTTACAGAATGTTATGTTATTCCTGTTTATACCTGTTACTGCCCTGTACAGCATGTTATTCTATTCATGTTCCTACCTGCTACTGTTCTGTACAGCATGTTAAACTATTCATGTTTCTACCTGTTACTCTTCTTCATATACAACATGTTATACTATTCTTGTTTTTACTTGCTACTGTACCGTACAACATGTTATACTATTCTTGTTTCTGTCTGCTACCGTTCTACATGCATCCTACTGTTTGTCCTGTACTGCAGATTTTATATTACATAGCCTTAAGAATGCTCCTTTCCATATAGGATGTTTAGAAAACTACAACCATAGAGTCATTTGATTTGACATCATAACGAGAAAACTTAAACTCATCACGACAAGGAGCTGGGAGTTAGCACGGTGGGCAGCACGACCATCTTCAACAGCAGAACATGTCTCCCCCAACTAAGTCATTCCTTTCCTAGAATTAAAACAACAATCCATTGAATTTCGAGGTTGTTCGCCTAGTGCAACATATATCCTCAACCTTTTCATTAGGCATTTGTGTAGCTCTGCTGTACGATATAAGCCCTAACTCGTTTTAGGATTCCGATACTGTCGTTCGTTACGATCTAAATCCTCACATCTTCCAGGCTATTTGTATGATCGTTTCACACGAATGTAAGCCCCAATTAAATAAAACTGGCAGGATAAAACATTTGAATATTCCTCTTTGAAACTGAAGCCAAACCATAAGGTAGACTGGGAAGCCACCGAGGATCTCCTCTGGATCTGTGGTATCCCCTAGTTCTTGTTCCTTTGGATCCTGTAATAAATGTTCCAAGTTTGAATCATTTCCTTTTGCACACCTCTTTACCCAATTTCGTTGAAAAGTTCTATCCTTTTGAAATCCTTGAAGATAATTTTTCCTAATTTTTATCGAAAGTATTCTTAAGTAATTTCGATCATTTAAGATGTAATTAACTATAGAGGTTTGCCTTTATAGGAAGCTTTTCTGAACCCAGCTTAAAATAAATCCTATTTAATTTTTCATATTAAATAGGAGAATTTGTCGGCAAATAAAACGGTCGTCATATACATCTTAGTTAATCTGATCGAATCTCATCCTCAAGTCTTGTGTTTAACCTTCGGGATGGATATAAGATTTGAGGTAAAGCGCTCTTTCATTTAAACTATGAAAAATATGGGGTTATTTTGATTTTTCATATTTAATTTTAAAGCTTAAATCTATACGTCCTTCCGAGGCGAGCGACGGGATTTCAATTCCGGTGACCGACAGCTTCTTACGGACAACTCCCCCAAACCACAAACAAACCATCCCCACACTTTTTCCCCGCCGAACAGGCATCTTCCTCCATCTTAAAACCACTTCCTTTCAAGAACAATACACCCCAGTCCAAGCCTTAAAACAGACGCAAAAATCCACCAACGTAACAAAAAAATAAAAAATAAAAAATAAAGCAAAAACAAAAATAAAATATAAACACCAAAATCAATAAAATATTGCCAACCATTAAATGCTTCTAATAGCAAGATTCATGTTAAACTATATTCGAAATCACAAGCATATGCACGAGTTTCCATACTTAGCAGTGAAAATTTTTCTTTTGAAAAATATCAAATCAAAGCTATCTTTGTCTCATGTAAAATGTCATTAAAAAAGTTAAAAAACAGTCCACCACAAACCTAAAACTCACCAACCTATCAACAGGAAAATGACCAATAAAGCATGAAGTATCTAATCCTTTGAAATATCAACACTATGAAAAAATTAGATTATAATGGCATCACCTCTCAGTAATTTCTGACATTGATGTTCGGCGCAAAACTATTATCCTTCCGGCCATCTACATCACAAATTACAACAGTTAAATACCACAAAGAATATTGACTGACCAACATGCCTAGCGGAACAAACTTTATGATGAACCAAATCCAAAATTTCATTTTTAGCATATTCATAATGATAGGCTAATAGTTACTTCATGAAAAAAAATATAACAGTATTCAGTGAGCATCTTTGCAGGAATAGAATTTTAACAGAATGAAAATAAACACTTAAGACAACATCACGCTTCTAGTAAACCTCTCGTGCCATGCCGTCAGAATTAAATATCTCAGGAAAACTATTCCTTCCGATCTCTATCATCCTGTCAGAAAGAATTACAACAACAAAGGATGATAAACAATCACTACAAACAAATCACATAAAGAGTGTACATAAAGGGTTGAGGGGACTACACGACCTGCCTGAACTAAATTTTGACTCAGTATCAATATATATCACACGGCCATCTAGACCTCCATAACTGGCAGGCAATGCTGCTATTAGTGCGAGTTTTAAACAAAACTGCAATTCCAACAAAGCATCAAGATTTTATCAAAATCCAAAGGGAGCTGTAAATAAAAGATGAAGAAGTTCAGAAAAAAAGATTTCTATTTCTGAAAGTTTAGCATAAATCTTGTTAACCATGAGAGCTCATGCTAGACAGGAGAGCTAAATAGATGTAGAAGAAGCCACAAAATAGATTAAGAGAGCATTGTGGCCCTTTGGCCCTGAAGAAACTAAACATCCTGGAAAAGCCAAATAAAGCACCCGTGTAATACCCAAATATTTCACATAGATAAGATTGAAATTTACTAACACATTTTTAACTTGTTTTTTTCACATCCCGAAAATAATTAAAAATTAATTTGGTTATAATCATTTTATTATATAAATATGCATATATCAATAAAGAAGTATACTAGCATTTATAATTTATTTTTCCAATGCAACCTATGTACTAAAGTTTATTCAAATAACATTATTCCTTCATTTTTCACCGTTCACAGCTTATTGCACTGTAGCGATTTCAAATTTCTTTTATATCTATATTTACACGCACCTAAAATCTATGCATTTTTCTTTCTTTTTTATCAATTCCGTAAATGCTTGGGAAAAACCTGAGGAAAGAAAAGAAGAGTAAGAGAAAAATGGAAAAGAGAACGAGAAATGCTTGGGAAAAACCTGAGGAAAGAAAAGAAGAAGAGTAAGAGAAAAATGGAAAAGAGAACGAGAGGCTAAGGATTAGAAGGTAAATTTAGATTTTTAATGATTACTTTTGCAAATCAAGTTTATATTCAAGTTGTAAGGCTTAAAGCTTTGAATGAGGATAAATCATTCCAAGATGAAAGTTTAATTATAAGATTATTTTGATATAAATTTGTCTTATTAAATAGAAAGTTGTTATAAATGTAAAATATTACTGTTATTAGATTGTCTAGAAAAAATTAAGGTTCCGGAGTAGGTGTGAAGAAATTCATCATGAGGTTAACTTATGATTGATGGACTACTATAAAGAGCAAATGATTCATATGTACACTACTTCAAATTTATACCAGTACGTTATATAAAACATTATCGCAGAGTCTACTACATGGCACTTATTCTCCAACTAAAAATAATATGAATTTATTTTCATCTTGAGTGATACATCATGCATATTCAAATACTAATGTTATTATAAAAGGTGCAGATTGATGCCTCAATTATAATTCATTGGTAACAAGTTGATGCATATCAATGCTATGAAATTTTAAATTCTCATAAAAAATGGTATTAAAAAGTAATGATGTTTCTAAAAGGTCATATGATATAAACTAGGTTTACAAATGATGATGATCTACATTAAAAGAGGCAAAATTTTGGACATGATGAGCTACAATAAAAGCCAAAAGAGGAGTTCCGAGCTACAATAGAAGCCAAAAGAGGAATTCCCGACCCTTGATATAGAAATGTTGATACAATATGATCCAACTTTGAATTGATGGGGCATTGATAATTACCATGTTAGATTAAAAATAATTATTATCAATATTTATTATGATCGGCAAGAGAACTAAATAGTATAAATATGCCATAGTCTATACAGATACTATATGATACTTCTTATTATAACCAACCTGAGAGAGACCAAGAACAAAAGTGAAGCAAATAAAATCATACAACAATATCTTACCATAATATCATAAATGATTCGATACTTCAATAATATATTGCTCTCCTTGGAAATATATATAGTTAATGCTTATGATTATCTTTTCATCATATAATAATCAAAGCATAATTTAATATAAATTTACATAACTAAGCCAGCTATATCAATATAAATATATGGCCTTATTCTTAGCGTTTAAATGTGGTTGGTCTTACATTGAGATCAAAATGGATTCTATGGAACTTTGGAACTATTGTACTAAAAAGAAAGAGTATCCTTGGATTCTTATTATTCCTATGAAATAAATCTTTGTTTTTCTTAAGATTGTGCAGGTTCATTGGATTTTTATTCCGCTTGAGAACCTTTACCAATCAATATGTCATCAATATCCAATGACAATTTCTTCATGGACACCTTCATGCGCTGCTCAGCTTCGGATTTCCCTTTGTTTTTTTGGGTACATTGATATGCAACTTTCTGCATGTGTGTTTGGAATATTAGGTCGCCTTTAATATTATTCGAGATTTGTGTCTGTTGCAGATGCATGTATCCAGAACTGTTATATACATCTCTTTTTGCATTTTTAGATCATCTCAATAGGAGATATTTATTAGGTATCTTCTTAATATGCAGAAAATTTAGGACTCTTAGAGAGTTTGCACACAGTAGCCCCATCATTTCGAACTTTCTGCAGCTGTACTGAATATTCAAACTCAAACTGTCGAAATGA